AGTTCGTTCAAAATAAGTATCAGTGTGTATGTATAGAAGGTTGTATGAAGAGTAGGGGGAAAGCCAGCCACAAAATAAATAAAATAAAAAGGCTTTAAAATATGTTGGAGGAAATAAAGATAAAAAACGGTGAAATGAGCTTTTAAGTATGTCCGCATTCGTGATTGAATGAAATTTCATATCGAAAGCAGATTTCGATTGTAAAATGAAATAAAATGTATAAGACTCATTTTTAAATATAGAATATATTATTTTTTTATTGCAAATAACGGCAGAAAATCGGATAGAAGTAAGAGTATTATATTGAACTATTGCGAACCGTATATTTATGCATATTTAAAAGCTTGTCATATATCGATATTAATATGAGTATCAGAGTAATTTTCGGAAGAGTGCCATTTATGGGAACTTCGGTAAATTATGGAACGAACTCAGCAGAATTCGAGAGAGTGAATAATTTCAAATAATTTTTGTTGAATTTATCTTGATTTTTAAACGACTTTTATAATGAATCACAGGGCGTAGGATCAATTATGGATTAATCCTTTTTGATGTGTTACAAACGGAAAAAAATATTTTTGAAAAATGTATGCATGAGTGATTTTTAGACAGATTAGATCTAAAAGCAACACATAAGGAAATAATAATAAAGTATTTTATAAATTATTTTCACCCATAAAATATTTTTCATTGATAAAAACCTTGGGAAAATACGATTGAACAACAATTAGATGTTACGTTGGGTTACACAAAGTGTTATTTTAATAGATTACTGAAATTTCTTAAACCTTGTACATCCATCCATTGTATTGATTACAGGTATTTCTTAATGTAAAACCACCTAGTCTTTTACTCATAATGTTTATTAATATTTCAGGTAAATAAATACTAAACTCCGATTTCTATTCATTTTAACAGGACAGGATGATTGTATGTTCTTGCGAATGTACATAAGTACATACACATTTATCACTAAAGAAGTTTTAAATATTACATCTCATGCACAATACGTCAGTTTTAAAGAAAAGTGCGTAAACATGAACAGGTGGAAATGCTTTTTTGTTATTTTTAAATACATAATGTGGCAATTGCCATTTATCCTAAATTTGCAATTCAATCTTCTACAAATATACATAAAATATAGATATGTATGTATTTATATAAGAAAGTAAACTAATAATTAAATACAGTAGTTTTCCGATTTAACGAACCCATATGTTGTCAGGCCTGTTCGTAAAATTGAAAAGTTCGTTATATACAGTACTAACTAAAACGTGGGTTTTTGGTAGGAAAATAATTAAAAATAGGCACATAAAATATTTTTTAAATGTATTTTATAAAAATTAATTCTTTTTTTATAAAAATAGCACAAAACACAAAATTCCGAATCTTATATACCCACCTTCAAACCACATTTGCGTCGAATTTAATCGCTGTATTTTTAATTCAGTCATGAGCTTTAAAGTTATTTCTCGAAGTTCATCGCTATACTCGTATTTGTAAGCGAGTAATGAGCGTTGAAGTAATTTTCTTAAGGGGGCCTGATATGGAGGGTAAGGTCAATTATGGACCGATTCCCATAAAATTTGTTAGAGATTTCGGTTAGTATAGAACATGTTTGTATCGAATTTCATCGGCGTACTCGTATTGTTAAGCGAGTATTGAGCGTTAAAGTCATTATCTGAAGGACGGACGGACATAGCTACATCGAACTAAAATTTAATAAGAACCCAGAATGTGTTACAGTTTTGGGTATAAAAGCACCGCTTAAAACAACGGTATATTTTTGCTACAACTTAGGTTATTTGTTTTTGATAAATGTCATTTTATCTTCATTTAAATAATAATATTTTTATTAGTTCGTTAAACAGAGTACAAAAAACAAGTTTTGTTCGTTATTTAAGGTAGTCAATAGGAAAAATTAGCTTGTTCGTTAAATGCGATGTTCGTAGAATTGAATGGTCGTTAAATCGGAAAACTACTGTACATGTGTATTTATGAATAATGAACATATCTACATATGTACATTTGTAAAGGTATAAAGCAATAATAAATACTCGTCAAATTTACAATATGATTTTATTTATTCGTATTATTGCAGTATTGTGATAATATGTGAATTTATATGTAAATTATTTTTCTCCAAGTAAAAAATAATAATGTTTAAATTGTTTATGATGACTCGCTTTTATACATAAACAAAAAAATATTTATCAAAATAATTATATTCAACAAGATCACAGTGAGTCACTGTTATGAGTGGTATACATATGTATGTAGTATGTATGTATATATTATGTACACGCTTGCATACATACATATGGTAAATATTGTTAGGTTAGCGCAGTTTATTTGGAAACAGTAAACTAAAGAAAGAGTTTATTTCTTCTTTACATTTTTCTCCACTTTTTCCTATCTGCTGTGGTGCACTAATGAAGGTTTTTGTTTAAAAGAAACATTCTAAACTTTTAACAATGCTAAAACTTAAAAATCAATAGATTAATTATACATTTGATACATATAACTATATAATTATATTAGTAGACATACACACATTTGTACACAGCTATATGCATTTATATAAATATGATTGAGCGTAGGCAACCCTTGCGTTAAGGTCACAATGACCACAACTTATATTAATGTTAATAATGTCATTAATATCATCGACAAAAGCAATAAAATGGCAAAGTGTTAGAGAGAAAGTGTAGGTACACATTAAAATATTAAACGCATTCGTATTAATAAATGAACATTACATACTTTATTTACTTTTCGTTACTTAATAGCAGTTTAAAACTGAATAGAAAAAAGTAATGATATAAAGAATAAAATAATTACACTCAATGGACTTGGCAATTTAAACCCTATTTATTATATTCGTAATAGTTATCTATATGGAATGTTCAACATATCAAATTTAAACCAATTTTAAAAGTATATAAAGAATTAATTCTTTCGAGCTTTTGATATGTAAATATATATCTATAATAACAAACGAACACTAATCGATGTTCATAAACCACATATGTATTTATGTAAACCTTACCAACAAGTTTTCATCATACTTTTTACTACCGTTCACTTCATATCGAATAGAAACACAGGTGTGTTTTGTGGTTTTAAATTCGAGTATAACCGTATTTTAGATGTCTGTATTTACATATCGTAAGCATAAACCTAAAAAGGCATAATTCCTATTTAATATTTGAGAAAACATGAAGATATTGCAGATAGTAATTTTAATTTTTAGTTTATTTTGAACGGATGGACATTAGGGTAATAACTTTTTTGGAGTGGCACTTTTTTGTCCTGATAATAAAAAGTTATATTTTAATTCAATTTGGTGAAAAAACCTTCCGCACCGAAAGCAATTTCATATAAATGTATAATATTGTCTAAAATATGAAACATTATCGCAATTTATTAGAAAGAACAATTTTATCTTAAAACAAAAAAATGCAAAAGTGTTGCAAAATTATTTACTGTTCTCGTTGAGAAAAAGTAGTATTTATACAAAACTTCATCGCGTTTGGTGCGGGAACTTTTTTCACAATTGCGAAAAAATAATATATTCCTTAACATCTGTTCGTGCCCTATAAGGTCTTGCTATGGTATTTTTGATATTTTGCAAAAAAATTACAAAAAGTTAACCCCCTAATGGACATGTTTTATAATATCTACGAATAATAATTGAAAAAGTAAATAAAAATCTTTATAAATTCTATTTTGATTTTCTATATAAAATATTATCGCAATTTATTAGAAAATCCATAACAACGTTATAAAGAACTATTTTATCTTAAAGATAATGTAACAAAAATGCAAAAGTGTTGCAAAATTATTTACTGTTCTCGTTGAGAAAAAGTAGTATTTCTACAAAACTTCATCGCGTTTGGTGCGGGAACTTTTTTCACAATTGCGAAAAAATAATATATTCCTTAACATCTGTTCGTGCCCTATAAGGTCTTGCTATGGCATTTTTGATATTTTGCAAAAAAATTACAAAAAGTTAACCCCCTAATGGACATGTTTTATAATATCTACGAATAATAATTGGAAAAGTAAATAAAAATCTTTATAAATTCTATTTTGATTTTCTATAATATGAAAATTTATTTTGTTGAAAAAAAGAAATATTAAAAATGAATTGATCACAAATTCGTTAGTCATAAATTATTTTATGAAAATATTAAACTACTATAAACGTTTTTAATCTAGCTACTTACGTCTTATAGCCCCTAATTTTTAACAATACCGATTTGTAAAGTTTTTTTTATCACATTTTAATAATTGCAACTCACCTAAAACGAAACAAGAATAATAATTTTTATTAGTTTTATTAAGATTTTGTTAAATTATTATTTTATAATAGTCTTTATACAATTGAAAAAAGATCCGTTCTATAATTAGTTTACTTTATAAACAATACGCAGAAGCATACAGAAAATTACCAAAAATATAAATTTAACATAAAAAGCAGCTTAATATATATACATATCTGTGTATTTGTGAAGGGTTAATCCCTTTTTACTTAATTGTATATACATTTATCTAAAAAATTCTTTAAATATTTGTGCTGAAAAAAAAAAAAATTGATAAATGTAAACATACTTTTCAGTACTACATACTACATACATAGTTATTGTAAGAATCCATATCGACTTTATGAATAAAAATAAAACTCGCAAACGATATTTGTTATCAAATGCAAAATTTATGCTATGCAATTTTTTTTGTTTGTCAATATTTTTAAACATTTCCCATAGAAAAATTAAATAGGCTTTAGTAAAATTTTCAATATAACTGTACATACATACATCGTTGAAAAGCTTTAATAATTCAAAATATATTATTCTATTCAATATTAAACCACAACCATTAATTTAATAAGTTATTTTTTTATGAAACTGAAAGCCATAAACCAAGTCATTTTATTGATTTTTTTAACAAACCCAGATGAAATAAATTTAATTTAAAAGAACCAAATTATTTCCTACCATATCTGGCCTTGTAAACACTTGATGAGCACACATAGTATCTTTCAATGAGACAGTTTTATCTGGAAATATTATTGACTTCCCAGTCACTGCACTATCAGTTTTCTGTGCACACAATGTTGTGGTTGAATTTACTTTGGAGGTATGAGATAATCGTTTCATATGAGTCCATACTTGGTGCCACGGCACATCTTTCTGTTTCAATATAAGAAAATATACAAATGAAATAAACAAAAAAATAATCAATAAAAAATAAACAATTAACCAATTTTATTTTGTCAAAAAATTAAGAATTTAACATTTTCTATATATACTTATTAGTTCATTTTTATCACACTATTTGATAACAATTGTGCTACTTGTGTTTAGATTCCCTAAAGTAAATTACATAAATACATATGTATGTATAGTAAAACAAGTAAGAAATTACAGTCGGGCGTGGCCGACCATATGATACCCTACACCAGTTATGAATATTAAATGTGATTTATTTTTCATAATAAAGCATTTATCTTCAATATTCCCTTGTTCCGATACATTTAAGCAATTTATGGATGAAAAACTAATTTTCTGAAAGAGGCTTTATATGGGGGCTAGGGGCAAATATGGACCAAGCCCGATAAAATTTTGTGAATATATTTATATTGACATAATATTTTATTGTGCTGAATTTCATCGCGATATTTGTGTTTATAAGTTAATTTGGGACATTCAAGTAACTTTCTGAAGGGGACTTTGCATGGGAGCTAGGGTCAAATGTGGCCCGATCTTTATGAAATTTGGCAGGGTCATCAAGACTTCTATAAAACTTAGTTGTGCCGTATTTTATCGATATATCTGTATATTTAACATAATTATGAGCTCAGAAGCCCTTTTCGGGGGGTTCTGTTGTATGGGGGCTAGGTGAAATAATGGACCGATTTTAACCATTTTCAATAGGCTTCGTCCTTGGGTCAAATAAAACGTGCGTGCCAAATTTCATCCAATTATCTTGAAAATTGCGACCTGTACCTTGCGCACAAGGTTTACATGGACAGCCAGCCAGCCAGCCAGACGGACGGACGGACGGACGGACGGACATAGCTTAATCGACTCAGAAAACGATTCTAAGCCGATTGGTATACTTTAAGGTGGGTCTAGGACGAATATTTTTGTATGTTACAAACATCAGCACAAATCCAATATACCCTCCCCACTAAAGTGGTGTAGGGTATAATGATGTCATAATACTAATAATTAATTTGGTTGATGTATAACCAAGTTTTTATTCTATTTATTAATTAGAAAACTAAATTGTTTTCAAGAATAAATAAGAAATTAACAACAAATTTGACTGATTCATTTTCTATTATCAGAATATAAAAGAATTTAATAAGTTTCGCAATCATATTTACGGTGAATTAAATTCCAATACATATTGTCGTTTGGCAAATTAGTTTGATAGTGTACATTATTGTTTTAGTTATTCTATATATATGTATATAGGAATACCTCTCAATCGATTCGCATTAATGTACTGAACACGAGAAAAGTAAAAAATATATTTTTTTTGAAATAGTCCTCAGTTCCCTACCAACAATTGAAAATCTGTGCAATATACACGTACATATACATATGTATGTACATGTGCATATGTGTATATGTTTATACATAATTACATATGTATGTATGCTTAAAAACATGCTCATTTTATTACAAATGAATAACTTAACATAAAAGGCTTTCCCCAAACGATAAAAACCTCACAAAAACAAGAGAATTTAAAATGTGTGTTTTATGCTAAACTAACAAATTAACATGCACTTGACTGCTTATAATGACAGACAAACAATTGAAAGACCCCAAAAGTACAACGATAAAACAAAAATAAAAACTCTAAAATGCAATTGGCAAGTGCAATACCAGAAGCTTTAGCGGTGAGAAGTATGTAGTATGTTGGCTGGTGCTACCAGCAAACGGAAGTTTATAAAATGATTACATTTTACAAACGGTTCTTTTGTTATTTGCCTAATAAATGGAATACACGATTATATGTATTTGTAGTTGTTGGTTTTGTTGTTATGACAGCCGCCACCCAACCATCAACAAAAAATAAATCAAATCGACAGCCACAACAAATCCGATGAATTTGATGTACCCAAACGGCAAATTGAACAAAAGAAAAATTTAAATATAAAAATATTCACATGCATACATATGTTTGCATGTACGTATATATGTACAAAAATTTGTTTTAATACAACTGTAAACAAATCATTAAACGGAAATAACAATTAAACTAAAATGAATATATTTATTTTTTTATATGTATGTAAAACATACATACACATAAGTACATACGTGCTTATATTCTTACATATGAACGTACATAAGTATGTACATACGAATGGACATATTATGTACGTACATATGTACATATTCACATGTTTACGATATACATACACTTACATACAAGTTTCTTGATATGTAGAAAATATGCGATTGTCCACTTGTGATACAGTGAGGGAGTCCTTATATGTCAGATAGCACAAAAACATCTAGTTATGTGATGTATGTATGTATAGCTTTATTGGAACATGAAAGGGAAATACATATAATAAAATAATACATATGTATGAAAGTAAAAGATTCGCAACATTTGCATTTTATATGTAGTTTACATAGAATATGGATATTTGTATTTAAATTTTAAAATAACATGAACTTTTTTCTTTGTCTGGCGTATAATTTAGATATCCACACATTTTGAGGTTCATTTAAGGGGTTAATCTCTCAGTAGCATTACAGGAAGTATAAGGGTATCATATTCATCATAATGACTTTATATGTATGTACATTTTATTCGCATTTGTTTTTATTTAATTCGTTGTTTAAAAAGAGGTCATGTGTGATATCATTGTTTATTTGTTTCTTTCATTAATTTCCAGTGAACAACAAACACATAATGCATCTTAAAAATCTTTGCTCCTACATACAGTTTAACGAGGTTATAACGAATTTACTGTACTACTATTCACGAGTACAGCATTATTATAATATTCCGAACCCAAAAATCTTAAAACATTTTTCCCACAATTTATAATTTGACAGTTACTTGTATTTAAACATTTTATGTACACAAATGTATTTACAAATGTAAGTACGTGTAAAGTGCGTAAATTAAATACATACATACGTATAAATGTGTAGATTTATCGTAACATGAAATGAAAAATCAGAACTTTAAAGTAAAGCGTTTTTTAAATAAGATAACACAAGTAAAACTTCTTATTAATGTATTTATACATATGTATCTCATTTATTCGATTAATTAATTATTAGAATAATGAGGCGCCTTTAACTTTTCAGTTACGATATCTAAGTATTATGTATAGACGTATATAATATATACATACGTCTGTACTCAGACAATATTTGGCATACGTTTACATATACATACATATGTATATCCACATGTATGTACATTTCTATTAAAATTTTTGCAATTTTTTTCATATTTTACGGCTCAATGCCCTTTTTGTACACATTAAAACTACCTACATTACATAGTATATGGATATAACATATGTATTTGTTTGTATTTTACTTGCTGTTTATTTAACAACCATTTTAAAGAATTCTTTATAGTTAAAATTTAGCAAGTATATACATATATGTATTTGCTATGTCTTCCAACATTTTTACTTGATGCGTCCACACCTGCATCGAAATATTGATTTACGAACTTACTAATCTTTAATAACATTTTATTTCCTTTCATTAGATAAATTCATTTTAAATTTTGTTTTAAAATTTAGAATATACAAGTACGTACATTATACCCTTATTTCGTCAAAACTCTGGGATTTCGTTCTTAGTGTAAATGTATATAGATTCTGTTTTAAGATGTACATATGTATGTATATTCATTTCGTTTCTTTTGTTAAAGTTTTTACCGCTTTTTTCTTTTTGCATTCGCAAATGGTTTTTTGTTGTTTGCTCAAGGCATTATCGTCATGCAAACATTACTTCCACTGACAACAGAATGCAACTACAATAGAAACATTAAATTTATTGTTCATTTCTTATAAAAAGTGTATGAAAAAATTAAAAAATAAAAATAAAAAAAAACATGCAGCCGTATTTCTGCAAACAATAATCGTTGATTGCAAGTTCTTTGTATCTCTAGTATACCATTTCCAATTGAAATATTTCATTACACCACTACGTAGATATAGCATGTACGAGGGTTTTAGCAATTCTCATTTAATAATTGTGAATGTACATTATCATCTATGTATGTTGAAGTTTAAAATACAAAATAATGGAGTTAATACTAATAATAATGCATTCGTCCAATACTTTATGTTAGCAAAGAGCTTGATCAAAAAATTATGGAAAATTCTATTCTGGTATTTAGATCAAATAAAGTTTTTTGTAAATTAACGGTAAATAAATATTAATTTGTTCCTTTGTTAACGCACTTCAAACAGTTAAAACCGCTATTTCCTATTTTATAAACACGGTATTTTGCGAATAATAAAACATTGTTTATGCAGCAATAATAAATATGTTAATATATATATAAAGAAAGGATATATTTTTCTATATGTATGTACCTATGTGTATACAATAAAATAACTAAAAATCACATAACATAATGATTATAAAAATTCTTAAAATTTTTAACAGATTCCCATATTTTTTCTTGGTACATATTCGTGTTTTATAATTATTTATTTCCTTGATCACATTTCGGAGGAACATTGATGCGTTTATAAGAATTTATGTATACAATGTATGTGTCTGTCAATATGGTCATTATTTTTATCATTGTTTCATATTAAGAGGTTTTTATTAAGTATTCGAGGTATTTTTAGATACATTCATATGGATTTCGTAGTATGTATTTATATTTGATTCTACGTAAGCCACAAATAAAATGACCTTTTATCACGCACAAAAGACGTTGTGTTTCATTCTTAATATATTTTGAGTGTATTATGATGGTGAAGCAATACAAACATATAGGTATTAGCCCACATAAATTTAAGATTATTACTTTTTTCTGCTTATACGATATTACAATATTAAATAGGTTAATCGACTAATCGTATATAATCAGATGCCAAATATTTCTAAAATATGCCTGCTTTTTATTTAAATTCGTTCTTATAGCCGATTTTTTCTGAACAAACCTATGTACGTACATAACACTTAAGTACAACATTAACTAAAGATTTCATTTTCTGTAAATTGCATATTTTGTATGGTATCGGGAATATTTAGTGTTTTAAACTATATTTAACCTATTTATTCTTCGATGAAATAATTGTTCAGCTTCGGTGCTTATTTCAGCCACTATCATTCACACCAGTTATAATCACAGAAGAAATAAAAGTTAAAAAGAAAATAAATTAAATTCTTTATATCGCTCGCAAAATGTAAAATTGTCGCAACTCGAAAACCATAATATTTCATTTATGAAAAACAATCTTCCGTCTGAAATGTTTCAAAAAATTTAAAATTTATGAAAATATATATGTATTTTAGGAACTAAATACTTATTTATTTTAAATGAAAATATAGCAATTTGTTTTAAATTATGTTTAAAGTTGTGACGGTATTCCATTAACTGGACGATATGTGTGTATAAGAATATAAGTAGGTTTACAACTTGTATTCAAGAAATTAAAAACAAAGAAATTTGAAGAAAAAGTGAAGACTTTTGTTCGTTTTTACATTTTCTAGTGCTTTTAGTTTTTTATAAAATTGCGGCAATTTTTACAAATATTCAGAGCATAACTAAAAAAATTATTTAAATTTCTTTTTTAATACATACTATATTGTTTCTCACAAGAAACTGTGGAAAAATTAAAAGCGGCCAAACATATGTACACAATGTAACACAAATTCCACTAATAAATAACCTCAGGAAAATTACGAAATTTTCAATGCCATTGTAATTGGACAGTTTAAATATACATAATGCCATAAAAACAAAACTTTTTGCCACCTACACCATTTTATACAAATATCCAGTTGCCACAAAATTGGCACCTATTCATACCTAAATCATTAGCATATGTATGTATGTATGTATATCGGACATACATACATATAACAAACCAAATTAAACAAGGACTAGGGAATCATTATATGTACATATGTATGTGTAGTTGTCGTAAAGCAGTGTTTAATTATATATTTGAAATAAATACTTAATTATTTATTTATTTCAAAAATATAATTAAACACAACTTTACGACAACTAAACATTTTTACGTACAACTTAATTAATGCCGTCTATAGGATATATGTATGTACATACATACATATGTATATCAATATCTTAAGGATAAAGTTTTATAAATGCATTTACAGTGCGTAGAATACATTTATTGCAGTTGGATTTGGGTTTATTAGTGTTGATGTGAGGGTAAATATAAAAATGATGACGTGAATATACATTTTAACTACTCTTATTGTTTCGAACAAATATAATTTTTTATTAATCAATTGAAACTTTGACCTCGCTATTCTTCTTAATTTCGTATGTTTGTCGCATAAAACTAATTGAAGCGCATATATACATGATTCAATTGGTTAAAAAGTTATAATAATTTAACTGAAACTTATATCGAAAATGTGGTATAGTACTTATAGAGTATATAACTTCTACTTAACTACATACTTTTTGAAAAACATTTGTCGATGTGAATTAAAATGAAAAATATTATATTTTCGTATTTATTTAACTGTAATATCCGAAATTTTAAAAAGTATTACCTTATTTGGATCTAATATAGCTCTTTCCAGGCTATCTTCGCCGTTAAGAGTATTTATTATACTACCACAACTATCATTCAAATTTTGGTGTTGGGCGGAAGCTTCCAATCTTAACCTGGCACGTTCCACACGTGCCAATGTTGGACTATCCAATATAGAAGGAGCACGCGATGGGGGTCGTGAATTCAAAGTAGATGTACAACCCATTTGTTGTTTTTGCTGTGGTTGTTGGAGAGAAAACGTTGAAGACGATGATTGTTGTAAATGCTGATGTAATTGTGACGACGATGAATTAGTAGAGGTGGTGACTGGCTCCAATGTGTTACTAGTTGAAGAACTAGAGCCAGGAGTAGGCGTAGAGGATGCGTTTGAATGAACTAACATTTTTACTTTCTATCAATTCAAACGGATGAAAGAAAAATATATATTTTTATTTTGTTGTGCAATTTTTTATTAAGTATAGATTTTCTTTAGTGCAAATTTTGATTTTTTTATGTATCTTTTCATTCTTTTTTGTAATTTTATTGCATTTTTATATCCAATACACAAAATGCAACCTTACTTTAGAAACACTAAAAACAACAACTATGAATTATCTAGACAGCATTTTCTTTCTGTTCACTTTTATTTTGTATCCGTTTTAGTATTCTTTTTGATTTTCGTTTAAACTTAAACACACACAAACGCATGGGCACCGAATCCCACATTAATGCTTGTTTTCTTTTAATTTTAAACGAACAGACAAAACAATGGCGTTCGACGAGAATTCCAAATGTAGTTTTTAAAGGAAATTAAATATTCCAGACATGCCTTGTTGAAAAGATCCGAAGAGGAAATTTTCGTAATGAGATTTTAGCAGATACAATTTTATTTTTCTTTTAAAAATATTAGATGTATTTGTTAATTTATTAAACTGTCGTATTTCTTGTTCAACGCCTCGTTTTTAATTATATCTTTCAAAAAACGCAGCATTATATCTTTTAGCAAACGACCGTTTACGCGTGCAGCTCGTTGTTGACTGAACTATACTCGTTTAATAAAATTGCGAAAACAGGTTTCTTACATATGGTAATAATATCGAACTTCCAACTCAAACACACCCAATACATCTTGCCAGATTTCTCAATTATTTTTCATTTTGAAGTTTTCTTTTCACAAAATTGGAAACAGATACATATGATTATTATATAGTTTATTTAACTGTTATAAAATATAGTCGAAAATTCTTAAGTATAACAAATTGAAACAAAAGAGAAATATGTATAGTAATTTTATTAGTATGTACATATTAAAGTAAAACTAAAGGAAAACAAAAATGTATTTTTTGTTGCACCTTTGAATTTTAATACATGCTTATGGTAGCTTAAGTGCTCCTGAATTGTAATGTGGTTTTAAAATATTTCCTGCACATAGAACTTTTACGCATTTTCAATTTTACATAATCTGAACTGTAGTCTCGATGCTGGTTCTGATAATTATTTTGTTCGAAATTTTTCGATCCTTAATTGAACTACCCATATGTATGCTATCATTTATTAAAAGCAACCATATTTTTTTGCAAAGTTAGATATTTTTACTTTAATTTGTTCCAAATTTTAAACTTTGAGCACTTATAACTTCCAGATGGAACACACTTGGCCTTGAATTATTGGACGTTTACTACCTTAAATGTTATACATATGACAAAATTGAAGAAATATATTTTGGAAAAAATTGAGGTGCGAGATTCTAGAATAAGTAATTATTTATCAAATTAACTGTTTAGAAATTTCCATACATGTTATTGAATATTCTATTATATATTCCATATTAACGATTTTAAATGCATACAGTGTGGCAACTACGAAACCAACTTAAACTATCTAACGATTCATGTATCGGAATGAACAAAATTAAAAACGAATCCAAAAGATACTTTAAAACAAACAATCCTATAAATATACACACTATCAAACCTCATGCAACTTGTATGGTTCAACATGTTCCGAAAGAAAAAATTTCCCTGTATTTCAAGTAAATGTTTTGGGAAATTTTCTGTGTGTACATACATTTGTATGTATTTACTAACAATTGACAAAACAGGTTTCTTTTAACCAACCTTTTGCCTCAAACAAATATAATCACAGTCACTGACGTCGCATGTATCGGAATGTTCACGAAAATTAATCTAAAAGATACCTCAAACCGTACGTTCAAACATGTAGATTTCTCATTGCATCCCAGTATTTTACTCAAATGCTTTATGGATTTTTCAAATATATTTTTTTTATTCCCATACCATCATACTATGTTTTTGTCTTTCCTATTTCCATTTTCCTTTATTCTTGATAAACGATCAATATGCCGGTATTTCTTTGTTGTCACATTTTTTGTCTGTTTAATTTTTAAAATGTATTTCTTTTGTATTTAGTTACAAAAACAAAAAAAAAAATAACTTTGTTCTTAATTTGTTTTATGCGATTTATTTATTGTATTTTTGTTTTGTATCTATTTTTCTTGATTTGGTTTTATGAGTTTTAGGCAGTAATGATTTTTTGTCATAAATACGTACATACATACAATACATACATACGTATGAATGTGCAGATGTATTTATGTATGTACTTTTAAATAGGAATTGGTGTTCAATATTTAAAGTCAAGGTTAATGTCCCCAGGTAAAATATTTCATTTTTCAACACTTTAGAAGAAAAATATGTAAAATAAAATTAAACAGGTTAATCTCTAAAATAATTAAAGATTAATTATTAATTCCTTAAAAATATGTAAAATTATGTATAGTCAGCTTATAATTTCATATGGAATCTTTATTCGTATAGTAGTAAAAAAAAATTGAGAATTGAAATTATTGCTACCTTTTAAAAGATTTATTTTAATAAAATTTTAGCTTTATTGGAAGAGTAGATCAGAATTGCGTAATAATATATTAAGCTGGACTTGATTTGTTCCCCAGAAAATAAAAATATGTATGTAATACTTATTAACCTTACCCAGCAAAAAAAATTTGAAGTTGTTAAAGAAGAAGGGATATTTTCATGATTTCTTTTGTACGTATTCTATTTAATGCGTTTTAAATACATGCCTAAATTCTAATAAATTTGTCATCAGTGAAGGCATGAAAAATGCACCCAAATTCACTCATGTAACTCCACTATAGGAATTGTAATATTTTACTATAATTTGGTATTCTCTTAGGAGATTTAACGAAAACGTGCATTTCATACAATAAATATTAAAAATTACATTAATTTTTTTATTAGATTTTTGTTTTTGTAGGTACCTACCTACCTAGTAATATTAAGTCCATTTTAACATTAATAACAGAAGGAAAAAACCAAGACTGTTTAACGGATTTTAAAACACAATGGGTATTTTTCCTCTGCATGAATTTAAATCCAATAAAAATCAGTTAGTTATGTTTTATCTTATTTTATTTTTATCAATATCACACAAAAAAATTATTTAAATATTGATAATTAAATCGAAATACCATTATTAATGCATTTTTAAATAAATATAGTGCACCAATGAAAATTCGCTTGAGAATCATCGAATATTCATTGGTTATAAGAACTCATTTAAATGGCGAACTATTTTTCCAAATACGAACACATGCATGCCAATGACACGCTAATGTTAAAATCATGCATGTTTCCCCTAAATATGAACCAGTTCATTATCAGTTCAACCCATGCATTTACTACTTTTTTTGCACGTCTTTTTTTGCTGGGTATGAATTTAATATACCTTCTAAGGCATGAACGCTAAAATATTGTTCAGGATTAATTTACAATAATAAATATTCCAAAGATGTCACTAATGAGTTTTATTAGTCTGTGATTTTCCTTAATATCTTTATATTTATGTATGTAAAATAAGTGTGTATAAAATATCGTAGAATTTATATGTACATTAGGGTGATAGATTATTAGACATTTTCCAAAAACCTGTTTTCGAATAGTTCGAATAGTTGACATTTGAAAAAAACCGGTTGACATTTTTCAAATCTAGAAAAAACGGTTAACCGGTTTTTCATTATAAATAACAAAATCTATTTTAATTTGAAAAAATTTACCTTTATGTTTAAATTTGATTAATAAAACTTGGCCTGATTTTTAACAGTTTACATCTAGTCGTCTGATTTACATTATTCCTTTAATGTAAAAAAAACTATGAAATTCTAGCTTATTGTAAACAACAGTTCCATAATATTTAAGCCGCAAATTAATTACTGTAATTGAAATATAATCTTAAGATTGATAAAATTTTATCAAACAGTTATTCCAATAAATTTTACAAAAAAAATGTTAATGTTAAATGTTAAAAATCAAAAAAGTTTAACCAAAGGTGCGATAGAAAAATATGCTCGAGTTCCTGGACTCCAATATTTTTAAATTTTAGACGGGCTGTATTTTTATTTACTTCAAAATTAAATTTAAGTAATCTTTGAATACAAAGCAAATGAAAGTATTCGAAACCGGTTTTTAAAAAGTAAATAAAAACCGGGTTATTCGATATTCGAAAAATCAACATTTAGAAAAAGTCGACGCTGGTATAAGAAAAAAACCGGTTGAAAAACCGAGTCGATCACCCTAATGTACATATGTATGTATATAAAGATTAAAAAAATAATAAAAACACAAAAATTCATATTATTATGCAGTCAATTTTGCCATATGATGCATTAACTTACTACTATGTATTTATATGGATTTGCGTATTTTTATTTATTTTCTTAAGAATACACACATTTGCATTGTTTTATATTGCGCTTACAGAGACAAAGAGTTGATGCTTTTGGAAAAAATTAATCATACTTTTATTGTTTTCATAAATTTGTATACGTTTTGTATGTTTTTTGCGATAAGAAATGTATTTCATATTTCCTTTTTATGAAAAATCTTTAAAAATTATCCACAGCGAAAAATAAATGGAATATTTTACATATACTTACATACATATGTATGTATATGTTTACCACAAATTTTTAAAAAAAAATTTAAAATGTTACAGAATCTAATGACTAAATGTAAAAATATTACTGAATTTAAAATTCAGATAAACACTAACTATAGAAATCATCAAAATTTTTTTAAAGATGTTTATTTTTTAATATTGTACAAATGCAAAAGTCTACAATTAAAAATGTTGAGATTTCAGATAATAAAACTTTTTATTTCCTCTTTGTCCGCAGTAATACTTGAATATTATAAAAGCCATTAGAAATTAGTTCCCAGAGTAATTATAAGTATTTTCTTTTTTCGTTTTTATAATGTTTTATTTTAACGTACCAAATTCTGTTACTTTCCATTTGCAACAAAATATTTCATAAAGTCAAGCATACTTTTTTTATTAAACTTTTAATTGTGTAATTTGAAGTAGGGCACGTGAACGTGATTAAGAGTTTATAGTGACAAAATTTGTGTACATGTGTATGTATATTATGTTTGCTAGTCAATCACGTCTAGTCAATAAGCAAGTAGTCTTGTCTTTTTATTTGTAGCGAATAAAAAAGAGGTAAAAAATACAATTTCATATTTATTTTAAAAAAGTGATCTACATAAAGACTTATTTAAGTCAAAATAGTTCTATTACATTTCAGAGACACAAAAACGGGTAAACTATCACTTGTTCTGAAGTTATAAATTTTTAATTTTACTTGATATTTTACAAAATTAAATATTGTGGATAAATTTTATATAAACAAGTGCCATTATTCGACCGATAACAATTACACATAAAAAAGTGGGTGGTGGTCTGTGATTTATCTGTCGTCCAAACATGAATACAAGTTTGTTTGTGAATTGTTTAATAAATGTTTGCAATGCGGGAGGTTTTTATTCTTAAATGTTTATATTATATATAAAAATACATATTACATACTCACATTGTGACTAGAATATTCATAAAAAAAAATATTTTCAGAAAAAAACACATTAAGAATTTTCATTAATTTTTATTTTTTTTTTTTTTAATAGATTTTTTATTAATTTTTAATTTAACAGTTTTGTAAAA